GAGAATAATATACTAAAAAGTTATGTTCCGAAAACGACACGGTATTATTTTTCTAATTCTCTAGTCCAGGTATTTTTAATGTGCTATTTCGTATCATTCACGAGACTTAGCGGGTAGCAACTCATTTTCAGCCATTCTAGCTTTTTCCAACATTTCACGTGGTGTAGAAATAATCTGCTCATCGTCATAGCTACTGACATTAATGAAATAGTTAATTGTTATTGTCACATCGCCTAAGCAAAAAAACAAAGTCATCTATCAACATACCTATGGAAACCGTGCGATCGCTCTCTTTACGCACACGTGTGTAAGGAGAAGCTTACTGCCATTGTTTTGTGTACAATATTCATCACTTACAGTAGTAGTCGTAGGAAAAACGTGTTATAAGTACCTATCTGAAATACTTCTGATACCTATCTTCACCTATCACATAAGATGTACTCGAGGTTTCTTGAATCCAATTACAAAGAATATTTTTGGGATACAGTCGAACTTGGAATGGTCATCATCTGAACATCTGTTCAATTCATTTTACAGAGGATGGTTTTCTTCTGACCAAATTCATGATGAGATTTGTTGCCTACCTAGCTTGAAACCAACATTATATCTTGATTCTCGCTTTCCGTTGAAGCTGTTGAAAACACTGTCCAATAATTTCCAGATAATGTAAATCAACATTGTTCTCAGATGATGAATTGTTTGTTTTTGATCCATCAGGAATAGATTCTTAGAAATCTTCGAGAAATTCAATGAGAACAGTCTAAGGGAAAGACCATTCGATTTTGGGTATAATTGTATGTTCTCTATGAGTTATTTGTGGTACCGTCAATGAGATATATACCCTTTATGAAATGAAAATGAAATGTGAATACTATAAACAGTTACATGACAAATTTAACATGAATTTATATTGGCCTATAGCCTTTCAGTAACTATTTGAAGTGGAAGAAGTCTTTCGAAATGAACTCTGTGATTTGCTACAGTGAAATGAGATTTCCATGAACTATGACAATTGAATATGTTATGAAATGTGCGTAAATGATAGTAGTTATTTCGAAAATATTCCTTATCTGTGCAGTGAAATTCTTTCTCAAAAACTAAGATCAGACATGTAGAGTTGTAATGAAGTGTTTTTGAACCAGCTCCATTACTAGACTGGTTTTCATTAATATATAAGTTCCTGAGAGTGATTCTAGTTGAATTCCACTTTTTTCTAAAGCTGGAAAACTGAGAGAGCTGAGTAATTCATTGATTCCTGACTTTCTCAGCTTTTCCTGATAGTAAACTCAGATGAACATCATTACAAAAGAATTCAATGTTTTTCAACCCTTTGTTTATGATATGAATTTTGGATGAATTATTTCACTGTTAAAATGATGGATGTTTACCTGGTCATAACTTTCCCGTTATTGGATATTTTTGAGTCAAATTCATTCAGTAGCATTAGCAAGGGTAGTAAGTAGATTCTGTTCCTGTGCCCATTCAGGGTTACATATGATTTTTTCTGCATTTTTGTGAGTTTAGGAACATGTGCTTTTCGATGCTAGTACCTGCAGACATAGTTGAGGATTCCAACCAATCAGAATCTAGGATTGAGCTGTCCTTGTACCGAGGTTGATGGGGAGTATAAATACATAAGACAGCTAAGGGATCGCTCTCCGCTCTCTCTGCTCTATCATCTACGCTCGATACTCTGCTCTAGACACTCTACTCTTCACCGGTGTCTCTCCTGGTTCTCTTGCTGATCTCTTAGTGCTCTCATACTTCATTCAAAGCCATTGTGGAGTATTGATGTATGATGATTTCGTGTTGCACATGTTTGTATAATGTTTTTCTCCATCATTATCCATCCTGTTTATAGAGTCATTTCATTCCTGTTGTTTTTCATACCGATACTCACCCCACCTGTGTAACGAACCCAGAAATGTGTGTTCGCGAATAAACGGTTTTTTATTTATTTATTTATTTATTTATTTATTGAGAAAATACATCCAACAGGTCATAAGACCCAATTACAGGAGTACATAATACAAAATGAAAAGCTTATAGTAGTCCTGAAAAACAAAAATTAAAACTTAAAAACGAAATCTATATTAGTAATATATACCATGTAACATTATAACATATAAGTATCAGTTTCAATCAGTTATGTAGTGCATTATATAATGCTTTCCTAAACTGAGATAAGGGTAAGAAAAATATATCGATATTTTGTAGACTATTGTAGCTTCTACACATAGAAGTTAAAGGACAGTGAAAGTGGTGTTGAGAGTTAGGTACGTCAATGTGAAATGTTATGTGTGACCTGGAAGTTATACGAGGAACATTAAAATTCAATGATGAAAGTAAAGTAGAAGAGTCGATTTGATTATGTATGATTTTGTACATAAAAATCAAGTCGTTAATTTGGCGGCGTTTTTCAAGTGATGTATAGTTGAACTCTTCTAAGAGTAATTCATAGCTATGCTCTCTTATGGGATAAGAACCATGTTTTTTTAAGTAAAGAAATTTTAGAAACTTTTTTTGTACAGCTTCAATACAATATATATATTTTCCTTGACAAGGATTCCTTATGGAGCTACAGTATTCCAGTTTGCTTCTGACCAATGAATAATATATAGAGCTAATTGCCTCTAATGATGAGAACTCTTTGCTGTTACGCATCACAAAGCCTAGCATTTTCATTGCACGAGATGTTATTTGTTCGATATGTGACGAGAACGTTAGTTTTTCATCAAAGATAATACCCAGATCTCTCGATTCGGTAATTCTTGCCAATGATATATTATCCAATTTGTAGTCATATATTTGTACTGAGGATTTTCTTGCGAAAGTCATAATTTTACATTTACCTATATTTAATGATAGTTCATTTTTCTGACACCAATTATGTAACTCAGTGATATCGTTTTGTAATGAGATACAATCAGAGTAGTCCTCAATCTCCCTGAAAATCTTCATATCATCAGCAAAAAGTAGTTTTCTAGAGTTGATACTATCAGAAATGTCATTAACGAACAGAAGGAATAATAGTGGACCCAAGTTTGAACCTTGAGGAACCCCGGAAGTTGCATTAAATATAAACGATTTAATTCCTTCGTATTCCACAAATAATTTTCTCTCACTAAGATATGATTTCAGGAGATATTGGAGGCTCCTCGAAATGCCAAAGCTTGATAATTTCATGAGCAATTGGTGATGTGAAACCCGATCAAATGCTTTGCTGAAGTCCGTATACACCACATCAACTTGCTTACGTTGGTCCAGTTTCTCAGAAACATATTGCGTAAAAATACAAAGATTTGATGCAGTGCCAAGACACTTCACAAAACCATGTTGGAATTCGGAAATTGTGTTACTTACGTGCTTATAAATTAGGTCCGATAAAATTATTTCAACCAATTTCGAGAATACTGATATTATGGCAATCGGTCTATAATTTACAATTTCCGAGTTCTTGCCGGATTTAAATATAGGGCATACCCTCGACAGCTTCCATATATTCGGAAAGTAACAATTTTTCAGCATGAGGTTGTAAATGATACAGAGCGGCTTCGCAAAAAGAGCAATATGATTCTTAACAAGTTTGACTGGAATGCCATCTGGTCCGACTGTCAATTTATTTTTCAATTTATTGGAAGCCGAGATGATGTCATTTTCCGAGATTTCACGAAGGTGTAAGTAATCACTGGTATTGAAAAGTTCTCCGTTACTCAAGTTTGTATTTTTTAGATTATTGTTAGAAATATATACGCTTTGAAAGTTCGTTGCGAATGCATTAACTATATCGTTAGGTAAGGACAATATTTGATCATTATAATACATCTGTCCTGGAATTCGAGTTTTATCCTTCTTTGAGTTTACATAGCTCCAAAAACCAGTAGGATCTTTTTTCAAGTTTTGTTCGGAGTTCGCAATGAAAGCTTTATATGAAATATCTATATCGCGTTTAACTGAATGCCTCAACTCTCTGTACTTTTCACGATAAAAAAGTAGTTTGTGACGTCTATACATTTTCAGGTAGTGACTTTTCACTTTCAGTTTACGAATCAGGTCTTTTGAATACCAGGCAGAGTACTTGCGGGAGCAGCGTTTTTTCATCGGTACACACTTTTTTATTATATTTTGTATGACTTCGTTAAACCGTTCGCATGTTTGATCAACTCCATTCAGGTTGCTGAAATGTTGATTCCAATCAATTCCCCCGAGTAGTCTGCAAAATTTTTTAGTATTGGTATTTCTGAAATTATACCGGTTAATGGAAGAAGAGAAATTTTTTTGGATTGGGCCTGGTGAAGTATGAACTATAAGTCCTGGATGATGGCGATCAATCGGAACTAGTGGGTCGTCATCCGTGAGTACTTTGCAATTGTTTTCATTACTGGCAATTACCAAATCGAGAAGTCTGTCATTATAGTTTTTAACTTTATTAATTTGATACATATCACAATAGCTCAAAAAGTTATTGAAACGAGATATCAAATTGGTATGAACTTTTTTATCATAATGATCTTGTAGTTCTGAAATATTGAAGTTACCTAGTATTGTTGTGTTGCTAAGGTCATGAATATTCTCTAGGCACTCGAAAAATTCTTCATATTCGTCTACAGATGTATTTGGGGGAATATATACAAGTATTATGATATTTGAAACATGATTACTGCCCCAGACTTTTACTGACAAAACATCTATTTTATTAACATGACAAATCAATTCAAGGCGTTCGGATTGATATTCGTTACTATCGACTGCCAATAAAACACCACCTCCACGTGCTCCTGTGCTTCGATCTTTACGATAAACTGTATAATTATGCGGGAATAGTTCGCTATTGAAAAGATCTGCATGTAACCAACTCTCTGATATAGCAACAACACTATGACAACTTGCTAGTACATTTCTATAAAATAAGTGAGTTTTGGTATTTAGACCTCTACAATTTTGATAGCAAATAGTTAATGTGTTAATTGCATCATTCTTTAATAATCTATTGGATGGAGTTACAAGTTTTTTACTGCTATAGTTGGATGCCCATTTTTATATTTTATAACTAGGTTGTTTTCACCATTGTTTTTTCGCATTGTTAACTCATTACGTAGTGTTATATAATATTCACGTTGTTTCACTGTTTGGTCAGTTCTCAGGTATACGTTCTTGAACTTGTCAGCACTTTGAATTCTCCTTTTGTTCCTGATCAGCGTAAGCACATCTTCTTTATTTTGCAATGATACTCTGATTGGTCTTGATTTTCCCTCGAATTTTTTACCGAGTCTCATAATTGTAGTAGTATTGATGTTGGAATCCGGAATAATAGATGTAATTAATTCTTTTATGGGCAAGGCTGGCTCAACTATATCTTCAGGAATACCAAATATGAGTATGTTATTCTCTCTACTTTTGATTTCATTGATCTCTTCCATAATTTGAATTGCATCTAGTGGATTCCGAGGAGTATCCAATACTTTTTTTTCGAGCATTTCAATTTTATCGTTCAAGTTTTTTATCTCTTCTTTGTGACTGGCCTTCATAGAGTGTATTTCCGTTTTTATATGATCAACACTTTTTTCTAGCTGACCCATTTTTTCGCCCAAGATATTTAAAATCCCAGAAGAAACGGAATCTACCAACCTTTTTATAAATGTTTGGTCCTCGCATACTTGCTTAATCATCACTTCGACAGCATGTTTCACTTCACTCATTTGTTCTCGTGTGTCCCATCAATTTTATGAAAATATTCACTTTTCCAAGTTTGTTTCTAGCATAGAACAGCGGAGCAATTTCATATACGTCTTTACTCTATCACGACTATTACTTTTTATGGTTGCATATTTCATATTTCTATCTCTGTTGTCATTGTTTTCAGTTCCGAATAGTTCCAATGATTTCTTTGATGATTCTCAATATTTTCATCCGTCAAATTGCTTATTATTATTATTGACTGACGGCTGACACTGACATAGCCAGTTGTCAATTCTTCTTCTTCTTCTTTTCCTCGGGAAATCCTAACCTGTGCTCCAGTGTCCCTGTGCTTCGTGTCCTATCAGGCAGTGGTCTGTGGTTCATGAAATTTCGACATGAATGAATGGAGATAATTAACCTCACTGAAATTCCGATATTGATTACAGGTCGATTCAATAACATTGACCCGTGGTTCATACTGTAGGTACCGAGGTAGGTATCCTGTACCTGTCTCCACTGTTGTTACCCAGGCCTTCTAATAAACTGTGGAGTTCATAGAAGCAGGTGGAATAAACCACCTCATAAACAATATATGGCGCCCGAGAACCCTCCGACAAGTACCAGAGAAGTATCTGTCCGAACAAGCGCCAAAGTATGAGCCACAGAAAGAAAGGTCGTCACAGAGTGCAAAAAAATGAGCAGCATGATTATTCACTTATATCATCCAAATATATCATTTCGCCACGAATTCACACGCCGCTATTGCTTATGGTTCACGTATAGTGTTAGCTGATGCATGATCTATTCATCCGCTATATTGGATACGCATTCAATAGTCATAAGATATAAAGGTTATGAGGTCTGTGATTATTTCACATAATATATTTCATCACTTATATTTTTTTCAAAAATCTATGGTTAAAAAAAGGATTCACATTCTCCTTTTTGTTAAAAATTGAAACATAATTCCTTAGCTTGAACTCAATGTGTCACTGTTGGTTCCATGACAAACAATAATGAATTCTCTGACGACAAATGTCAAAATAACTGCTGCATTCATCCATTTCGAATGAAGACAAGAAATTATACTTATATAACCATATTTGCGTTGATTGATTCAAGATGATGCTACATCCATTGAATACTTCATAGCAGATCCTACTACAAGAATATTGTCACGATTGGCAACTGGGAGCATCAGAGTATTAGCAACTAGAAGTTATTGAATATTAGTTCAATTTTCTCGCGTTTTCTCTCGTTCCTCTCGCTTCTCTCGTGATGTTTCGTTTCGTTTGGTCTCGTCTCTCGTAGTCTCTCCTCTCTTTCTCCTCCCGCTCCAAATATCGAGAGAAAAATTCTCATCTTGTCTCGTCTCGGCGGCATCATTACTTCTTCCAACAACATTGCGTGGATTTTCATATATTGGAACAGAATTTTGAAAATGTTCATTGGCACTCATGATTTTTCTGCAAAATCGCATTCCAATTGTCAAGAAACAACTATAACAGCAATATCATATTCTGATCTTGCTGCTTCCACTGAACCCTGTTTTTTCGTGACGAATAAATAATCGAGAGTGCTATAGTTGGCAAAACGCTCTTCTACATATCATACCACGGTTATAAGATGATTGCAAATACATAGAGAAGTTCGCAAAAACGCCGATAAATCACAGTATCTGTTAGGCGATCTCGGAAAAATCTCAATTAAAGTCTGTCGATTAATTATGAAGCCGGAGTGGTGTTCCAAACCAAGACCGAGATCGCATCAAGGATGATTTAGAGGCCAGCGCTCAGAGCTCTTCTGCGAGTCACTCGCATAAACAGAATGATTAACCGGTTGTCAAACTAAAGAAATAAACGTTATTTATCGGGTCGGGGAAGAACTTCACAAACTTATCAATATCTCGGCGTTAATAACTGCCTTTAATGACGGGAATGTATGTGTTATGACCTGCTCACGCGATATGCACTCCGCCTAGCTCATTCGGACAGGGGCGTCATTTCAGTGTACAAGGTGTTACTTAAGTACGTGTAGAGAATTTAGGAACATGTTGCTGACGTCAAAATAATGTCACAAATAGGGTTATATTTCTTAATTTCATTCAAATTCATAGAAGGTTCGAAGTCATTATTGATCGGTCGCGTCTTTGTTTATTAATTCCAAAATTTTCTGATCGTGAACGAACTTTTTTCCATAGTAGTTGAACATAATCACAGGCGTGACATTGACTTCAACGAACCTGGACTATCGACCTGATTTCTTTACTGTCACGTTTTCGAAAATATAGACAACTATTTAAAAGACGTAAGGAAGCGGGTTCGACAGTTTGACTACCGGTTCGACTGCGAGTTGGACTGCCAGTTCGAGTTCTAGTCCTGTTTTTTGAGTACAAGTCCGGAAAGTTTGAATTCTATCAATTGTAAATTTGAAAAGTTGCTACTGTTCCCGAACCTTCGGAGTTCGGGCAGAACACAAGATGCCCTTCCTCAGGCCCCAAGAAAAATCAGTTAATTTGTAAATATAGGGTGAGTTAAGTTTTTATTGATTGTTAATCATAAAGCAAAAAATACATGTGTGTATATGTGTTGTTTAAAGACCCTTTTAGGGTATTATTTGTTATCGTCACTTTGGAAGTTCATTCTCTAATGGATCTAGAACACAACTTAGGCAATCCCCGCCTACAGTTTGTGACAATAAGAAGAAAACATCGTATAAATATATTTATTTATTTATTTATTCATCAACGGACAAGCCAATTATACAAAACACAAAAAGAAAGTATAAAAATACAGAGCACGTACAGGGTGATTCACCATAAATGTCCCCCCCTCTAGATCAGTTACTTCTGAACCAATTGCAGAATTTCAAAGATCATCTAAAATGATTTTCGATAGAGTTTTTTTCCGTTACATCAGAAAATACAAGGTGCTCAGAACAAACGATCTACAAGGTACTATTTGATTTTTTTGAATGGAACACCCTAGTTTTCATTGTATTCTCAGATTCTCCCTGTAGAGCTGATTTCATCAATGCATCACACTTGAGGTTTAGCAAAAATGATTACAGAGATATAGGGTGTTCAAAATCGAGATTTTTCAACTTTAGGATTTTTTTGTGACGAAACTATTCATTATAGGTCAAAACGACTTTTATGTTCGTATCTCAACTTTTGATTCACTATCTTCTGACATTTAATAATTGGAACAGATACAGAGCGATCAGAATTCTGAATCTTGAACCACACCGTATATATTCCAATTGAATGTCAGTAGATAGTAAATCAAAAGTTGAGATAGGGACATCAGAGCCGTTTTGACCAATAATGAATAGTTTCGACTCAAAAAAATACTAAATTTGAAAAATCTCGATTTTGAACACCCTATATCTCTGTAATCATTCCCGCTAGACTCCAAGTGTGATATATTGATGGAATAAGCTCTTCAGGGAGGATCTAAAAATATAATGAAATACAGGGTGTTCAATATGGAAAAATCAAGTAGTACTCTGTAGATCGTTTGTTCCGAGCACCCTGTAATTTCTGATGCAACGGGAAAAAATTTTCTGAAAAATCATTCTAGGTGATTTTTCGAATTTTCAAATCGGTTGAAAAATAAGTGAGCTAGAGGGGGGGACATTTATGGTGAATCACCCGTACATATTATCATATCTATGAAGAAGACTAACACAAAAAAATGTAGAAGGCTAAAACGAATAGAAAGATGATTAACAGTATTTTATCGCTCTCCTGAGGGACAATAAAGATGAATTGAAAAGTTCAATTTGGTAATTGTTTTTGTTTGCTGTTTTCATAATTCTATATTCATTGATTCATTTTGGCCATAATTTGTCCTACAGAATGGTATCTTGAAAATGTCACTATTTCTGTTCCTTCTTGTATTTGCGGAAAGCATAATCAGAGCAACAATTTCAGGAGAATCATTGCAACCATTGATAATTTTATGGAGGAATAATAGATCAATTCCCATTCTTTTATGTATCAACGTATTCATGTTTAAAATATCTAATATTTGTGGATAGGTATATATTCATCCCTATTGAATGCCATGTGATATGCACAACTTCTTGAAAAACATAATATGTCCGAAAGTTATTCGTTTCTGAGATACAGAGTGTCAAAGTTGAATATTCATTCTTGTTTTTCAATGAATTTCAAAATATTTGTGATATTCGAATAAAGTTTGGTATCTAGGGGTATTTTTCAATGACAACATCAAATGTTATGTTAGTTTGTCTCTTTCGTCGGGGTGGCGCCACCTACATGTCTTTTGAGAAAATAGAAAGCGAAGATCAACATCGTCAACGGGTCATTGGCTGAATGTGACGCTATACGAAATACACCTGGTTTAATGAAACATGTACGTGGGTCTATGAGACGACGAGCAGACGCATGCATAATGATGCAAGGTGGCTACTTTGAACAATTACTTTGATCAATTGCCTCAACTGTTTTAGTATCAATTTGGTCCTTATTACTGTTATTATCATTAGTTTCAAATTGTAATAATTCCTACTTTGAAATGAAATTGAAGAAAAATAATTTGCCTAACTTCAAAAATCAATTTTGAATTCCAACTTCTTGTCATTTCAAATTACTTGCATTGATTATTTCAAATCAAATAACTCGATAACAGTTGCTCGCAGCGACCTCCACCAGGAATATATTTTTCACACAAAAGTGTTCTAGAGATCTGTATTTCTACTATAAAACGTGATACAGGTACGCACAAAAAAGTTATGACTTTTCAAAAGACTCAAAAGACATGTAGGTGGCGCCACCCCCCACGAAAGAGACAAACTAAGAAAACATTTGATATTGTCATTAACTCCTAGATACCAAACTTCATCCGAATATCATGATTATTTTGGAATTCATTGACGAAAAACGAAAATAAGAATTCAACTTTAACACTCTGTATCTCAGAATTTTTTTCAGTCATATATTTATACAAACTTTTCTCCTTATTTTGACGTCAGCAACATGCTTCTGAATTTCCTA